AGTCAGCTTCCCTCCTGAACTCGATCTACTCATACTATACACCACTATCTTATCCAGCACATACACACAAAAACATTTTCTCCTAAAGGATTTTTTAAAGACCAAATGGTAGGCTAAATGTCCCTCATTATAAGTCAAGTTTAACGATCATTCTTTAGCATTTTGCTGGCTCTAGTCTCTCCTGTTTGATGCGATGTTGAAAGGCAGGAAAGAAGATGTTGTATGAGAAATTCAAATCCGACAGCATGACCTTGAGCACTATGCAACCTGGATTTGCATACCTGACTGCCTTTGATTGTACAGTTATCTTGGAGAAATCACCTTCACTCTGACAAGTCTGCTTATCTGCTTCACCAAGAGGCACAGAAGACTAATTAGCCACTAGCTGTAACATTTTAGAATCTCCAAGAGGGAACCATAATGCAGCAATCTTTCTGGTTAAATATTGCTGCCTCTCAGTTTTCCAATAACGATATGATTTCTACCATCTTATCACTAATGAGCTGAAGAATTAGAATGAGATAGTTTCAAATGTAAGATAGCTCATATTATTGTCATCAGCAATTAAAATAGAGTAAAACGCTAACTATAGTAATAGCATTTAGAATTTCTCAACCTTGTGAAAGAACCTAGCAAATATAATCTTATCATTAATGCTTTATTTATATATACAACAACATTTTGTAATAAATTTCCTGGTGGATAAATCAAATTGGTGAGACAAACAATTGGTTTATGAAGTGGAAAAAATAAATCAGTGTCTTAGGGAAATCTGGATAGGGCATTCCTATCATTGATTTGAAGCTTTTTAAACTTGAATTGGGTGAAATTTCATAAGAAATAAATAAATGTAGTCCTAGTGTTACCTATAGCTGAGCTAAGTCAGAATGAAATAAAAGGAACCCTTCAAACTGGGTTTTGAACCTTCTGAAAGTTCCTCAGTCTTTCCGATGCCACTCCAGAAGCAGAAAACATGGGTGATTATGTCTGTTCTAGACGATAATCTCTTTGTTGGGTGAGAAGTCAGTGTTTGTAGTCTGTTAATTGAGTAGAGAAAACATAAACCATCTCTTTGCTGATGGCAGGGAACTTCCTGAGTGACCCTTTTTAGGTTCCATTTTGTATCCACATTGGGAAGCAAATGATGATTGAATTAACACAGGGCTTTGTCTTCATATAGGGTGTCTGCAGAGATTTGCAGTGTGGTTGCTACCCTGTCAAGTCACAGATGTAATTTTCTTCAGGATAGAAAGAGGGAAAACAGATTCTCATAGCTTAGATTCAAGGAAGGCAATCATTGGCTCATTCGTTCCTTTCAAAACGACATTTTCAGTGAAGTAAAACAGCTGCCAAGGTGTGCTGACTCTATACTCTCATTTTCATTTCCTAATTCTTGAAAATGCTAAGTTAAACCGTAGCCATCCTCCTAAAGAGAATGAAGATTAATGTAGAGAAAGATGCTGTTTCAGAGTTTGTGGCCTTCAGCTGACAAATTTGTATCTAGCTAAGCAGAATGATGAGCTAGCTGCAATGAGCCTGTGCCCAGCAATTCACTCATTTTTCTCTCATAATTTCCCTTTGGCTTCATTAAATGTTCATTCATGTGCTATTCAGAGCTTACTCTCTTAAGTAGTAAAAAAGAGGTACTCCTCACTCTTAAATAGTTTCAAATGCTGATGTGTTTAGAAGGATAATCACTAAAAGGTTTCTGGATAATTATTGGCATTAGAGTCAGGGTTTGAATTCTGTCCTCACCACTTGCTAGGCTCCTGATCTTCAGGATATCGCTGTAAAGTTTCTAGGAATTTGTCATTTTTTTTTCTCTGAAATGAAAATGAAGGATGATACCATCTATTTTTCATCATTAGATGGGACAATGCACATAAAGGTGCTTAGTTATATGTAAAATATTGTGCAAAGTAAAGGATTATTATTGTTTTTTGATTTCTTTAAAAGATATTTATTTGTAAGCCTGCCTTACATACATATGAGGTGCACACATGTGTGTGTGTGTGTAGAAAGCTTTCACCAACACAAAATATAAAATATAAAATATCCAGGGCACTTCGATATTTTATAATATTTCCTATATGATGAATGCTCTTATTCACTCAGTGACTGTTTGTTGAATACTTACTGTATGTCTGGCATTTTTCTAGGGGCTGAGGATAAAATGCTAATTATGATAGACAACATCCTTGCCCTTACGGTGTTTGCATTCTTGTGAGGGTGTGGGGGAGAAACATAGTAGTTGTAAACAAATAAGATAATTTCAGATAGCAGCTGTGCTCTGGAGAAAATAAAACAAGTCATTTATTAGAGAAACTAGTAGCATTTGAGAGTTTGGAACAATGAGAATGTGCCAATCTTATAAAGATGGGAAAAATTGCTCTAGGTAGCAAGTGAAAAGACACAGAATTAGGAAGAGCCTAGAATATGGCAAAAATGGACAATGTATTCGAAGCCTAAGGAAGAGAAGAGAAGGAAATATGGTTGGAGAGAGAAGAAGTAACTAGCTCAGAGAATCAAGCATGCTGTGGTAAGCAGTTAGGATTTTACTCTAGTTGCTATAAGAAGTCTTTAGCAGGTTTTGAGCATTCCTTATGTGTTACCAGACATGGAAAACTAAATAGTACCTATTCAGAAATCACAGATTTTTATAAAAAGCGATTTATTCTCTACTTCGTCCATCTGCAAGATCTAGGAAAGACTCTTAAGCCCATAGAGGGCGCCAAAGGACCTTTAAAGGCCCTTTCAGCACCGAAGTGAGGGGAGAGCGCTCTGGTTGTTCCTTTAGAGTTTCGGTAAAAGGTGACACAACCTACGAAATCGTAGCTTATCTGTAATTCTTACCCCAACGAAAATTGAATGAGCTTGTTTTACATGCATCAGGACCTTGGTTTTCACAGTGGAGAATTGTTTATAATGAGATGAGAGTGGGAAGACATTTGGGGGTTATTTTTAATCTTCTCCCATCTGGTAGTATTTGAGTAGAGTATAAAACAAATATGGAGCCAAAATTTACTTTCTGGATTCACTTGGCAAGAAAAATATATCTATACTTAGAACTTTGAAAACACTCATCATTCGCCACTTAGGATGTGTTATTCTAAATACTATTCCAACTTACTTATTAAGTATTTTAGTTGTGCATACTGAGAAAGGCTATTGCATGAAAAGCAGTGGGTTATAATAAATGGAATTTCCCGCACATGATCAGATAGCTATGCTTTATTGTGAAACCAACTCATAGTGAGTTAGATGAAAAAAAGAGAAGGCAAAGAGAAAGAAAGAAGAAACAGGAAGAGGAGGAAGACAGAGAATGAAAGATCTGCTAATGTCTAAGTGTACAATAAAAAGATAAAAAAGAGAATGAGAGAGCTTGGAATAAAGTAGATTTAGATGTACTGACATGTGGGTCTTCATATAACTAGGATTGAGAAATAGTTAATACCAAAGAATTGGACTTTCACTTCCCAGGTTGAGACTTACTTGTTACAGGTGGATATAAAGGTTCATGGTGACTGTGATAAAACATTCATTATTGTCTTTAATAAGAAAAAGTTCAGTCAATCAGGCCTTACTCAGAGTCTCTCATCTCACCATTTCATACCTGATAATCACAGGCATGTAGTTTATATACTCCTTGCTTTACCCAGAGAGACTTTAGAAAGCACTGTAAAAGCAGCCAACCAGTTAAGTCACCTAAGCAAAGGAATACGGAACTATCGGAGAAGAGACAGCATCCCACATTGACCGGAAGTCCAGGAGGCCAGTGATAGGTAAAACACTGACAGTGCTGGCAATCTAAACGTCATGAGCAATTTTTAGTTCTAACCACCATCTATTCAAATTTGACCAAAAGGAAGAGGAATTTTAAGCTTCTAATACAGCAAAAAAGGATACAGAGGCCAAGGCTGAATAACAGAGCAGGCCCTTACAAAGCAGCCCTCTGATCATGCATCTCACACCAGCCATCTATTTGAAAAACACTTAACTTGACATGTTTCCTTCAATTTCGAGGAATCCCCAAATGCACTCTCCTGTTACCTACCATATATTTTGCAAAGACAGTGCCAGGCCATTAATTATCTATTGGTTTTAGTAAATTTAAACAATAGAATCAATATCTACCTTCTCATCCAAAGACAATGTGAACTTTGTTCACATAAGCATATCCATATTTAAGAGGGAAGAATAGAAAAAAAAAGGAGAAGGAGAAAGATACCTAAAGAATGAGATTCCACTTAAACATAATATTTAAACCATCAACATCAAAATACCCTTTTCCAATTAATCAAAATTTGTGTTCTTTGCCACCCCCCCTCCCCATTCCTGATGTTGGTTTATTCAAAGCACTGGGGTCGCAGCTTGTCATGAGAGAAGATATCATGTTTGGTCACTAAGGCAATAAAAAATTTCCTGAGAAAATCATGAGTCAAAGATTGTTTGAAGGATTGGATGAAATAACATGTTCAGTACTCAGCACAGACAATCAGTTTGTGTTTAACAAATTAAACATATACTGATTGTTCCTTTGAGAACTGAGGGTTTGTGGCTTAGAGATATGGAAAAATCCAACTCTGAAGCCCAGAGTCCCCTACAACACCCTGCTGGGACTTTCATGAGGAGAGCTGTTAAGGAATGGGTCACCCTCTAATCTGGATGCTTCTCCTCCCCTTCTCTCTCCTCCAGAGACTGCAGAACCTGAGGGAGGGGGATGAGAAGTAGAAAGCAGACTTTCCTAGCTGATGTCAGAGTGGAATTACTCATAGAATCAGAGTAGAAGGGTAGAGTTGGTAGAAACTTTTAGAGGTAATTTAGTTCCACTTTAAGAAGAGATTGCACTCCGCTAACACTCAAGACCTGCTAGGTGCAAGGCACTGTGCCAGCCTGAAGGAGGAGACTTAAAGAGAGTGAAGCAGCCTTGGCTCTCTAGAAGCTATATGTTTAGTAACCCGGGGAAGTCACAGGGGAAATGCAAGGCAGGCAGGAGTTACCTGGTTGATGGAAATGACCGCCAGCCGAGGGATGACCACTTGGAGGATCACCTGCAGCAGTGAGGTGCCCAGGCCGGCCAGGATGGCCCAGGTGAGCGGCAGCGGCAGCATGCTGTAGGTGGCAAAGAGCGTGAAGAGCACGTAGCCTATGCCGTCGCCCAGGAGCCCGTAGCCGAGGCCTGCTGCCAGGATCTGGGTGGTCATGGCCACCCAGGTGACCACGCCACTGTACTGAAGGTACGTGTGCGAGGTGGTGTCTTTCCTGACCACCACCAGGGCGCAGATCACCACCTCAATGCCGGTGAAGAAGCCCAGCAGGATGCCCTTGAGCGGGTCCATCGGGGCGGAGGCCAGGCTCAAGTGCAGGACCAAGAGAGTGAGTTTGGTCAGCACGTCCAGCACGTTCATCACCACTTCTGATTTGCGCCTCTGGCCCAAGAAATAGCGCTGGTAGAGGCGTTCCAAATCCCGAGACTTGAAGGAGTTGCGTAAGGTGGGGAAAATCACCCCTCTGTAGCTGTAGCCCCCGTTGAGGAAGAAATCCGAGTTGCTCGGGGCACAGTCAAGGTTCAGGAAGCCCAAGTCGCCCCCGCCCCCGCTGCCGCTGGCACTGCCGCTCCCGCTTCGTTCCGGGAAGACTTTAGTGCCGCAGGTGCTGTGCGCTCGCTCTCCCGGGCCAAGCGAGTAGAGGGGAAGCCCCGAGTCGCCTGACAGCTGCGGCGCGTGGTGGTGGTTGGGGCCGGCGCCCGCGGGGTCCGAGGCTTTGCTGGAGCCTCCGCTCCCACCGCCGCTGCCTCCCCGGTGCCCGTGAATGAAACGCTGCTCCGTGATGTGCCGCACCGCCGTCTGCCACAGCAGCCGCTGCGGCCGGGAGCTGCTCCTGCCGTCGCCGGCCGGGGGCGTCGGGTGGATGGTGTAGAGTTCCTCGCTGCCTGTAAGGCAGCGCACACCGGAGAGCTCCATGGCGCTGGGCCGCAGGAGGGAGGCTCAGAACCTTGGGGAGGCAGCCGGAGGAGGGGGTTCCTAAAGACTCGAAGGCGGCCTAGTAGGAGCTTGGCAGCGATCCCCTCTATCCTAGGCTGCCCCGTTGCAGGAGCCCTGGGTCAGGGCTCCCTGTAGGTCAGGTCATACTGTGCCCAGGGGCAAAGGGCACCTGGAAGATCCGCGGCGGACCTCCGCGTCCTTGCGCGCCTCTCTCCCGCCAGTTGGCGCAGCTTGGGTACGCAGCGGCAGTGGCTATTTGTCCGCAGGAGCTGCAGCGCTCCGAGCCACGCAGCCCCTTCCTGGACACAGGCTCCTTGGTTGGTTCTAGGCTCAGCGTCTTGGCGCAGCCTTTGCTCTCCAAGAGACGCCTAGGCTCCTGGGCGCCAAGCTTCTGCTGCGCATCGGGCGGGTCCTGGCTGCAGCACTGGGCTCCGGACGCCCACTGCTCCGCAGCTTCAGGGGGCCCGGCCGGGGGTGACCGGCGGCAGCGATGGGTGCGAAGTTAGCAGATGTGGTTGGAATCATCGCCCTTCGGAGAACTCCATTGCGCCGGGATGGGGAGCAGAGGCGGAGCTGGGGGCGGGAGCAAAGAAGGAGGAGGGGGGCACGGTGAGGTGTTGGGGCGCCCTGCGACAGGTTTGGAGCAGGGGTAGCCTCGGCGCTAACAAGTCACCAAATAGTTAATTTGGAGGAAGGGGTATGCTGAGGCTCACTCCTTGGCTCCTTCCTAGATCTGGAGCAAGGATTGACAGCTCAGCGCTGGCTCTGGCCAGAAGCATTCCTCCCGGAGAGGGTGTGGGGACTCTAGCCCCAGGGTCCCAGCCTGAGCTATAAGACGAGGTCAACGCTTCCAGCTGTGCTTTCGAAGGGTCGCAGCACACAGTTCCCATCCCCTTTACTTCGTTCTTTGGAGTCCATTTGGCTCGGAGCTAGGAGGACCAGGAGGCGGGGGAAGGAGAAAGTAGGGTGGGCTCCAAAGCCAAGAGCTCCGAGAACCAAGAGGAGCCGCCGGTGCGGGTATCCGAGGTTGAGAACTGAAGCTTGCAGGGTGCGGCGAAGGTTTGGAGGAGAAGGGAGGCCTGAGGCCGCTTGGAAGTCGACAGAGACGCCTCTGGATCCAGGGAAGTGCCGCCGCGTGCCACCCTGGAGCTCTGAAGCGCGCTGCAGGCACCAGGCGACTGGGAGGAATTTGGAGACCTGTCAGAGCGGTCAGACACTCCTGGTGACTTAAACCAGTCCCAGCGCCAAGCCACGCCCCCGGGACCGAGCTGAGGGTGGCGGAGGGACCTGCCACCCAGATTTGGCCAGGACGCCCCAGGTCTGGCAGTCAGCGGCACGCGTGGGCCACTGTGGGAGAGGACCATTGAGGGCTAGGACGGGCGGGCGCCCCCAGCCCTCCCTGGGTGCGCTGAGATCCAGCGTTCCAGCTGACCACGCCAGCCGGTCCCTCCGCTGTTCTCTTTTAGGTATTGGCCCTTGTCCTCTGCAGGTGCGGAGCCAGGACTCGTAGGCCGCTTTGCCCACGGACTCGGGGAGCCCAGCGCGACGGAATACAGGGTCTCCTTTCCGCCCTCCCTACCCAGGCGTCTTTTGCCAAAGCCAACTTTCCGGCTCCCAAGAAGCCGCAATCGTAGAGGCAGGCAGTTTCCTATGGGAGCCTCTTTACTACCTCGATCCGGAGGGGCTGAGGAGATGGGGCATTAAAATGGAGACGTCCCCTGCCTGCCTCGCACACTGAGTTTCTCCGCTTACAATAGGGTCCAGGAAGCGGACGTGGAGAAAGGCATGTCCGGGGCCCGCCTCACCCTAGCCCAGGTTTCCCGCCCACCCAGGCTCAGCCGAGCGCTCGCGGACAAAGCCTGCGGTGGCGCTCGCGGCGGATCAAGTGGCTGCGCGGTGGGCGCTTAGTGCCGGTGCTGACGCCGGACGAGCAGCGTCCCTGGGTGTAGGGTCTGCAGGGTCTGCAGGGCAAACGCGGCCGTCACAGTCCCGCACCCGGATGCAGGTGGAGGAGCGGTGGTGGTCACCACCTCCGCCACCAAGACTGCGGCTGCAGCCGGTGGAGCCCGGGCCCAGAGCACAGTCAGCTGATGGCCAATGACGTCAGGCCCTGGGCGCGTTCGCGGCTCCCTGTGGCGTCCCATGAAAGCCCAAATGACCTCCTTGCCTTGCTGCCCCCTCAGCCCCTCCTGAGCGAGAAGCTCTCTTCCCTCCTGCCTGTCCTAAGGGAGAATAAATTTCGATCCCCGACCCCCCAACCACATACACTGTCTCCTGGGTTATTTCTGTCGGCTGTGTCCCAGAAACGCAGGGTTTAATTCTTTGCTTTTTAATTCCTTCCCAGCGCCCCCCCCCCCCCCCAACGCATTTGAGCTTCGGTCACCTGCCTTGCAAACAGAATTCCAGAAGGAAGAGAAAAGAATCCTCCAACATTCCCCAAATCCCTAACCAGTAGATTTCTGGAATCTGGTGCACTCCCTGGAAGACACTCCCTTAATTCCAATCCTTTAAAGTTGTGTTCTGCCATCCCTCAAGAAAGCCAAAATGAAACCCTCAACTTTAAATAGATAGATGGCTGATCCTATTTTTAACTCTGCTTGTAGATGAATTAATGTGTTAACTCTAAAGATCTCCCAGAATAGTTGGCCTATCCCATGGGGCTGGAAGTTAAGGGTAAAAGCACCTCAAACCACTCTGTGTGGCAGTTATCTAGCCCTTAATGAAATAACCCCTGAAATTACATTCCTGTGAAAGAAATCCTTCTCGCTGTTTTCATCCTGAATTCCTTGAACTCAGCCTCACCCTCCTAGAACTCTGGGGTGGATAATTAGTCTCTTGACTTGAGACAGGAACTCAGAGCTCAGTCACAGTTGGGAGGGCTGTCCTATAGACGCTGAGCCAGAATGTGTGGAGAAATGTGTCCTCTCTCTGTGGGCATTGCCCGAGGCATCTGTGCTAATGACCATATTAGCAAACTTGGCAATGGAAGATATCTCTTTATTTTCTCAGTTCTTTCTCCTTGAGGCCCTAAGGACTCAGTCTGAATAAATGAGGGGCTGGATGCAGCTGGAACTTTCTTACAAAAATCTTTCTCCAACCTGGACAGTTCCCAGGGTGATTTATTCAGCAGCAAAAGGAGGCGGGCCAAGGAGGGGGAAGATTGGACCCAATCAGATAAAATTACTCAGGCTGATGAATGAACACAGCATGCTGCAGAAAGAAACTCAGAATTTCATGAACTCAGAGGTTGAAGCTAATTCATCAGGGAGAGTACATCACATCTATTCAACTGACTGAATGTTTCTTGGCTGTAAGGTTGTTACCATAAATTGTTTTAAAGCAAGAACAGGGATGACACAATTAGATTCCAATGCTCTTCTTCCTGTTGGGATGACATAGTGCCATTCAGCCCAAGAAGTACTCTGTTTTTGAATGACAGCATTGGTTCAGCACAAATATTGAAAGGATTTTTGGAATATGCAAACCATCAAATGATTAAGTACCACTTAAAACAAGAGAAGTCAACACATTCTTTTGAGCTATGATAGAGCTTTGATAATGTGTATATTTGTCCTCTGCATGTTTATTAAGGCAGAGTCTCTACTGTGATCTGAGGAAAGTGTTTTACCAACTCAGTGTCTTTTTGCACACAACATCCTCCTCTTCCCCTGTTTTCCTCCCTGAATGTACTTGCTTACCACATTTTTCAAAGCTTGAACAATGTTGTCTCTGCATGAAAGCTTTCCTGATATCCCCATTGAGAATTAATGACTTCATTCTCTGTTCAATAATCTGTTCTGGGTACTTTTAGTATGGTTCCTAATACAGGGACCAGCCATGTCTGTCTCTTCTTCCCATGAAACAGTGAGCTCCCTGAAGGGTAAAACTGATTTTCCTTGGGCCCGTATCCCCCAACTTCTAGCAACTATAATTTACATAGAGATAATAAGATAATAATAATGTTAGCTACAATTTATCTAGCACCTACTAGGTGTCAGACTCTTTCTTAAGATCATTTACAAATGTCTCATTTAATCATTGCAGTAATTCTATGAGTTAGGTTCTTCTCTATTTTATTATTCCCAACTTAACTGACTAGGATACTGAGTACTGAGTCTTCATGCGGCTAAGTACCTTGCCCAGATTAGGTTAAATCCAGTGCTTAAAGTTGTATTGTAGAAATCTAACATCTATGTGCTAAAAAAAGAATGCTTTAATAAGCAATCAATGACAAATTAAAATAGGACTGATAGAAATGAAAATGTCATTTATTTTTGGCTTTTCAAAGGCAAAGTAAATAAGAAACTTCTGAGACATTTAGACTTTAAGAAATCTGTCAGGATGAGCCTGAATTGCAGATGAAGGCAGCAAAGCTCATTATTGTTTGAATGGAGGACCTATTAATTCTGTCTCTGTTAAAGATTTAGGCACCATTTCTATAATTTATGGGAAAAAACCAGGCTTTCACAATCGAGTTAAACCAAAATAATTAACTTGGTGTAATTTACTTCATTTAGGTGGTTTGGTTTCCCTGGAAAATAACTTGTTTTGTGATGTTGCTGTGTACCGTTGGGCACATTTACAGTAGATGTGTTTAAGAAAAGGAAACTTTTTTTTTCTCCCTTGATGCACCTTTGACTTCCTAGGTTGATTATATCTATATAAGTATATAAAGTTTTAAAGAGTCATACCCTTTGCTAAGTGACCATAGAAACCTTGACACTTACTGAAGACATATAAAATATTCACATGTAAAAGAAAAGATGGACTCAGTTCTGGAAGGGGACCTGAAACCAGAGAGATCCTGTTTCCAAAGGGAAGGAGGATGTTTGTGACAAAGCAGCTTCCAAAGTAGAAAATCCTTAAAGGAATATTACACACCTACTGTGCCTGGAAAAATGACCCTTAGAAAATATCAAAAGCATCAGCTGCTTTGACAGCACTCCAGGAAATGTCAATGTCTTAGATATGTAGAGATCATCTTTGAAAAGTTCTGTGAATTAAAAACTTTGCACTCACATTTTATCTGGAATACAGTACGATATACAATAGAATACAGAAAATGTCTATTTTAACTTTTGTCTTATATTTTCTCTGCCTTGAAAAATACAGGAGAAAAAAAATTTTGTAGACATTTTGGATCTTCACAGGAACTAGTTTAAATTAGATTCTGGTGCCTGGAAGGAGAAGAGTGTCTCATCAGTAGGAAAACAATTCTGAGACTAGAAAGGCATAGCTCATCTGTCAGGCAGTCAGAAGAAGAAAGCTTCAAGGGAGATAGACTTAAATACTGTCTTCTGAAAAAATGATTCTCTTGACACTGGTTTAACTAGAGGATGAGCTAACTATGACATCACTAATTAAGACTTTACTCACTGAAGTCCTAGTATAAAAAGGAACACATACACACACATACACTCACACACACCATTAGAGAAATGACTAAGGACACAAGGTAATGAAAAGCAGTAATGAAAGACAAAAATAAGTGGGTTTTCAGCTACTGCAGTCATGTCACTAAATCTTTTGGCGATGCATTTTGATTTGGTACCAATATGAAGTCTTGGGGCAAAAAATGAGCAGACCCATTGGGAAATAAAGCAGATCATTTTCCCTTATCTTACAAAAATCTATCTGATTGCTATTTTAATATCACAGACTTATTTTTAAAAACAGTGCACTCTATTACTGTTTTCTTCTTTTGGACTATTGGTGTTTATGTTGACTATTTAAGCTAGAACTTTTTATAATAACTTTTATATAACTTCTTACATAATTTTTCTTTTTTTTTTTTGAGACGGAGTTTTGCTCTTGTTACCCAGGCTGGAGTGCAATGGTGCAATCTCGGCTCACCGCAACCTCCTTCTGAGTAGCTGGGATTACAGGCACGCGCCACCTTGCCCAGCTAATTTTTTGTATTTTTAGTAGAGATGGGGTTTCACCATGTTGACCAGGATGGTCTTGATTTTTTGACCTTGTGATTCACCCGCCTCGGCCTCGCAAAGTGCTGGGATTACAGTCGTGAGCCACCGCGCCCGGCCCACAGAACTTTTTTTTTTATAATGCAAATACATTTATATAGTCGCATTGATATTGTTGCATATGTTAATCTTAATTCATTAATTTAGTGTACAAATATCTCTTTTCCTTTCAGAATCAATGTATTTCTGTTTCTGCCCAGTTGGTGAGACATTTAACCCATATTCCTTCTTGGGGCTTCCATCTGTCCCCTCCTAATCCC